CAAATATTAATGGGTGATGTTCCCACGAATGTAACAAAACGATAGACGAAATGCAATGGGCTGTAGCCAAGAAAGTCCAACGTATTTAGCAGTATAACATATTAATCAGCATAGCAGTACTACGTATCAGTTAAAAGCGTGACGTGAGCAATCAAAACAATATAAATGCATTGAAGAAATAAGCTGAAATAAGTCTACATTAAAGAGCAGCTGTACGCACAGGTAAGTTTAGAAGCAGGCTACGCCTTTTGGCGTCATCTGGTCGAGCACCAATTGGGTCGAGGCTCAAAAGAAAGCTGTCCCTTGGTGTGGACCAATCAGTTTCAAGGACAATGCATATATTATCATAGTATTTTTTTGTTTGCAAAGCTCATGAAAACTAGGGACAAGGCTTGGGCATGTGCTCAGAAAAGTAATTTGCTAAATGACTGGCTAGAATACAGGATTTTAAGGAATAGATGCGTAAAAAAAATACAGCATTGAAAAAATGCCTACTTTTCCTCCACTCTCCTGGAATCACATGGAAATGCCAGGATTTTTTTTAAAACAATCAAATCTATCGAAAAGGCATCCAAAACAGACAATCTGCCCGTTGAGCTTAACCGAAATGGGAAATATTTCTCAGATCCCAAAAAAATAGTTGACAATTTTAACCTTCATTTTTCTGAAGCTGGTAATCTTTTTCATAATGTATTGGGAGTCACCCCTGCTCCTGCAAATTCCTACACCCCTGTCCAAACATTAAACGAATTTAGTTTCCAACCAATACACGAAAGTAATGTTCTGAAACAACTGTCCTACCTCAAAGGGTCCTCCTCTACCGGAGCAGATAGTTTTCCTGTCTTTGCTCTACTAACTGTTGGTCACCTAATATACAAACCTAGAGCCCATATTTTCAACCTGTCCATCAAAGAAGCATCAGTTCCTCTAGAATGGAAACATTCCTATGTCCGTCCACTTCACAAAGGGGGCCCTAAAGATGATCCCAATAATTACCGACCTATCTCAATTTTGTCCCCATTGATGAAAATTTTTGAAAAATTATTGAACTACCAAATTAGCAGTTTCCTGTCCACCAACAATCTACTACATCTAAAACAATCTGGGTTCCGAAAAAAATACAGCACCACATCTGCTGCATTAGACTCTTTGAATCAAATCTACAATAGCCTTGATAATAAGCAGTACTGTGCCTGTCTTTTTCTTGACCTGTCCAAAGCTTTTGATAAAGTAGACCACAACACCCTGCTTAGTAAACTAAGTTGCCTCGGTTTTTCCGAAAACACAGTAAATGGTTAAAAAATTACCTCTTTTCTCGCACCCAAACTGTATTCACAGATGGTTGGAGGTCAGACAGTGTTAAGATAACAAAAGGGGTTCCACAGGGTTCCATCCTCGGCCCCCTCTTGTTTTCTCTTTATGTCAATGATTTGGGCACTGACCTGGATCATTCCAGGGTAAATCTTTTTGCAGATGACACGATACTGATTACTGCTGGCCGCTCTCTGGATGACGTGATTGCTAAGCTCCAGGGTGATTTCAACAAACGACAACATCAGCTAGTTTCTCTTAAACTAGTCCTGAATACCTCCAAAACTAAGGTGCTATGCTTCTCACCGGGACTAAAGCAGGAAGTTGTTTTTCCCCAATTACATTCCTTGAATAATTATCAAATAGAGCAAGTCAAGATCTATAAGTATCTTGGGGTCATCCTGGATTCAAAACTTAATTTTGAAGATCACATTGATTATATTGGTAAAAAGACAAAAATAAAAATTGGTTTTCTGTATCGACACAAGCACTGCTTCCCCCCAATGTTCCGTTTGGAATTGATAAAAGCTACCATACTGCCTCTACTTGACTACTGTGACATCGTGTATAAATCAGCCCCAAGTACTGTACTGAAGAAGCTTGATTCCATCTATCACTCGGCCTTAAAATTTGCATTGAACTGCCCATATAGGACTCACCACTATGATCTCTATATTGGGTCAAACTTAACATCTCTTAATGTTCGACGGCTTGTGTACCAGATCTTATTTATTCACGATGTGCTTACAAAAAAATCCGCAGACGACCTACTGGATCTCCTCTCTCTTTCAAAGAACAAATTTGACCTCAGGTCTTCGCGCATTTACCAGCTTCACATTCCCTATTGCCGTACAAAAACCGGAGGAAGGGCCTTTGCTATTGATGCCCCCAGGGTCTGGAATGCTATTGCCAATAAACTGCAACTTGAATCACTACCTATAAGATCTTCACTCAAAACTGCTCAAGAGGAATTGTACACCCCTAGCTGCCACTGCTATTCAGTGGTCTAAAATATGGCTCTAGATTTTGGTGTTATAATTTATTTACGTAGTTTATTGTTAAAAATTCGGTCACAGTCCCTATCACTGTTACATTGCATTTATGGCTTTTATTTTGGTGATTTCGAAAACGTTTTTTTTGGTTTGGCCATGTTTTTGTTTATTGTAGTACGGAGTTAGACTGATGGCCTTAATCTTAGTTGTCTTGTGGTTGTTGTTTGACTTGCATCCCACTGGGATTTTTGCACACAGCGTTGGTGTACGGTGCTATTTCAGGAATATTTTGATGTTTTTTTCCTGGATTTTCTGTTTGCATAGTCACATAATCACTTTAAGATGTTTTCTTGTTCATGTTTTTGTTTGTTGCGGTTGCACCCGATTCAAGAACCGAATAGCTCACAGGGCTATACCAAATAAATGAACTATGAACTATGTGTGTTTTCACGGATTGTGCTTTACCACCTATATTATATACTAGCTTTACTACCTGGCTTCGCCCGGGACTTGGATTCACCACGCCCGGCCGCCTTTGTCTCCCCAGTGGCGATGTTCACACACCACACCAATTACTCGTTTGAGGCTGAGTCGACCTAGGGGAGGCCCAGGACCGGTTCAAATAATCGTCACCGGTGGTGGCCGTGAGCAGGAATCGAAGTCGGGTCGCCGGGTTCGTAGCACAGCGCGCTAACCACTACACGACCGCTCCCCCCCCCACACACGCGCGCGTCCATAGGTACACATACACGCGCTTGCTGCAGACACACACAACTTTCAGGGTGCGTACGGCAGTAAACGACTCAAATAATAAAGCAATGCTGCGCGAAGAACGCCTTAGACCTGCAACACATTTGTATGGCACTTGACTCGCGGAGAGATGGGGGGGGGGATGCGTGACGTCAGCAGGCACACTGCGTAACGCTTCCGCATGCGGGTGGCATCACAGATGTGACGTCACAGCTCACTTTCCTTGCAAAATATATCCATTATTGCGCCCCCCCCTCAAAATACAAAAGTGTATTTTTATACTTTTTGCATGGTGTACAGTGTTGAAACTACCCACATGGCAAATTTCAAGTTTGTTGCATGTCGGGAAGTATGCTAAACATTTCGAACAGACACACATATTCACACAATTTTTCTTTTATAAAAATAGACAGATAACCATATTTTCCCATCACGCGGTGTTTTTCAGGAACGCAACTACTACCGCGTTAGAGGACAGGGCTGCATTTCCTAAAAAAGTACACGCTTTGGGGGTAAAAAAATACAAAGTAACACCCCCCCTCCCCCTGCTGGCAATTGTGCCACACAGACACAGCTGCTACCGGGCTGGGTTGTGATGCAAAGGCCCCCTTATAAGTGACGGACGTTTAAGCGCCCTGCAAATAAAGAAAGGTGTTGTTGTTATTATGACTCAACGTAATTGCATAATATAATAATGATAGTAAAGCGAACTCTCGACAGGTTTCGACATTTCTTACAAAAAAAATCACGATATACTTACAGAAAAATCCGCAGACTACAAACCGGAGGAAGGGCCTTGGCTATTGATGCCCCCCCAGGGTCTGGAATGCTATTGCCAATAAACTGCAACTTGAATCGCTACCAATGAGATCTTCTATCAAAACTGCTCTAGATGAGTTGTACACTCCTACAGCTGCCACTGCTATTCATTGGCGTAAAATAGAATAAAATGTTTCGCTCCGGATGACGCTGCAAAGTATTATCTGTATTTTGATTTAGCGTGCTGATCTTAAAGGTGCATTGAAAATTTTGATACTCCGACCGATGCTTCTGTTGTTGTGGAGTAACTCATGCAGCCAGCTATGGCTCTCGGATTTGGTGTTACATGTTATTTATGTAGTTTATTGTAAAAATTCGGTCACAGTCCTTGTGATCACTGTTACGTTGCAATTATGGCTTTATTTTTTGGTGATTTGGAAAAGTTTTTTGGTTTGTACATGTTTGTTTTGTTGTAGTACGGAGTTAGACTGATGGCCTTAATCTAAGTTTTCTTGTGGTTGTTGTTTGACTTGCATACCACTTGGATTTTTTGCACACAGCGTTGGTGTACGGTGCTTTTTTCAGGAATATTTTTGCTGTGTTTTTTTCCATGGATTTTCTGTTTACACAGTCAACACATAGTCACTTTAAGATGTTTTTCTTGTTCGTGTTTTTGTTTTTATTGTTTGTTGTGGTTGCACCCGATTCAAGAGCCGAATGGCTCACAGGGCTATGCCAAAATAAACTGAACTTAATTGAATTTTGATTTAAAGCTTTCGTGACTGCAGTAATTCATACTCTTAGCTCTTTTGGTAAAGTCACGTTGAAGGGAAACAATAAAATATATATTATTTCATTGTTTCCCTTCAAAGTCACGTTGAAGGGTTAACAACAAAATAATAAAATATATATTATTTTATTGTTTCCCTTCAACGTGACTTTACCGAAAGAGCTAAGAGTATGAACTTAACTGATTTCCGGAAGGGAGGGGGGTCTCATCAGCAGTGCGGCTTTGAATCGATTCGCGTTCGCAAAATCCGCTAATCGAGGAATCGAAATTCCTCCAACACCCCCAGGGATCGTCGAGCAAAAACGCCCGCAGGGCAACGCCCGCGTGGCACCACCCCGGCGCGCCCGCTGACGTTGCTGCCCTCGGGGCGTTTATCATTTGCGATTTTTGTTTCGTGGCGCCCCTCCCCTCCGCACCCGCCCCTCGCCTCCTTCGCTCGCCACTTTTAATGGCGATAAGTTGTTAACGACTTCCAATCGTGGCCGGCGTGTTCACGTCTCGCTCGGTTGGACACTCTGACCGAGTGCTTTGTTTCGTTTTTCACCCACCCCACCTCGCCCACCACCCCCCACCACTACCAACCACTCACTACTACCACCACTACCAACCACTCACTACCACCACCACTACCACCCGCCACGACCACCACTCGCCACTACGAGCTCCACCAACCACACACTTTTGAGATGTGGCCGCACCACCATCATCACCACCACCATCATCACCCCCTCCACCTCCTCCTGCTGCTGCTGCTGGTGCCGTCGCTGGCGAACGGCTTCGCGCAGTCCCTGGACGGGGACTTCACCTTCTCGCTGCCCGCGGGTCGCACCGAGTGCTTCTACCAGGCGCTCACCGCGGGCGCCTCCATGGAGGTGGAGTACCAGGTGATGGAACCCCCTCATCGATTACTCATCGATTAGACCCCTGAGGGATGATCGGTTGTTTGATGAGGAGACGAGACCGTGAGCGAGTCTTGCGTCTGCCATAATCGGAGGGCCTTCCCTGGAAGAGGAGCACCAGGTGATGGGACCCCCTCATCGATTGCTCTTCGATTCGATCGGTTGTCTTGTCTACCATGGAGGAGTACCAGGTGATTAATAATCGATTGTATGACTATGATTACTTGTAGTTTTATCAGCAAATAATATAATCGGTCTGTGAGGGGTTTGGTTGTGACAAGTGGGTAAGGTGAGTGTTGCTATGATGGGACCCTTCCTGGAATTGCAGTATCAGGTATCTTGATCGATTACTGACCGGCCCGTACTGTGAGGGGTCGCGTGGCGAGTCGTAGGTAAGGCATTGGAGCTGTGTTTCTATCAAGGACTTCAACTGGTTGATTGATTTAGTTGAATCGCGATCTTTTTCTTGCACCGAGTGAATCATTACGAAAATTTGTTTTAGGATAAGATTGCAAATGCCTGTGACAGCGCATAATTCGCCACATTTCCGTCATATTTCTCTTTACAGTTAACACGTATACCCCTTTACATGTCACAACGAAAGGCCACCCTGGTTTTGCGGTTATGTTTGTGTACACCTGTTCAAATGGTTAACGTAACAGTCAAAATAAAACTCTTATACGTGTGGAATTTTAGTGTTAGCCCCATGCAACAACACACACAAAACAAATAACAAATATTCACCGACAAAATAATTAGCCAAACATGCCGGGAAGAGTTACGAGATGAAGTGAGAATATCTGGCATAAGAAATGTATTATTAGTGGCTTACTGATCCTGTACATTAACGTTCGTCATCATTGATCCTACACATCCGTCATCCCCCACCCCCCCGCCACGTGCGCTTGTGACTGTGGCAGGTGATTGATGGCGCGGGCATGGACGTGGACTTCTCAATCTCGTCTCCTACAGGACAAGTCCTCTTTGCCGAGTACAGGAAGTCAGAAGGACTCCAAAGGTATTGCACACCACCCGTTCACCACCAGAGGTCACCACTGTCTCTTGAGGAACACCTACTCGTACGAACTTATGAAAGCGAGGGTGTCCTTCAAATCTTCAACATGAAGACCCCTTTATTCGGTCACACACGTGGTGTGATCATCCCATGCCATCAAAGGTACCAGAGCATTTTTTTAGGAGGGAAGTCTTGGGCCAGTTTGTCATCATGTTGTTAACTGATCATGTTGAAGATTTGATGATTAATTAGCAAACAGTGACCCTCCCCATTTTAACTTCCAGACTTCCTGTAATTGCAACAGAACTCTCCTTGGCATTGCAATCCATCGTCTAGGAAATGATAATATCCCGGACATGATTAGAGTTATTTAAGTGAGCGTGCTCGGATTTTATCTCGGGGTAGGTTAAGCAACTTGAAGATCCAGAAGAGGATGTGAAAGGAAAGCGTGGTACAGCTTATCACCAAGAGGAATTTGTGATGGCAGGGTTCGTGACAAGACCGGCAGAGGACGGGCACCCGTAGGGCAGAGACCAAGGAGACCTAAAGCCAGGCGGTGGACACCATACGAGTGGATCTGTACAACAGTTTTCAGGAACTGGCAGAGAGAAGGAAGTTATGGCCAGGTGTGGCGAAGTCAACAGCACTGACTGCTGGCTAAATGAAAGCTCGAATGGCAGTGGATGCATCTGTGGTTCTGTAAAGCCACTTTACATGTCAAACTGCCTAAGGGCAATGTTTGGAACAAGCACCATTTATACAATAATAAGCTGCAGCGTGTACAATATATTCTTTGGCACATGTCGTGATGGGTACTGCAAGATCCGACCATGTCCGTCCGGCGCTGACTGAACTGCATTGGCTTCCAGTTGCTGAATGAATACATTATAAGGTCACACTCATTACACACACAGTGCTTGCTACAAATATACCACAATACCATCACGTAAACTCCGATTATCCTCGCAGCGGATTTTGGCTAACCATCGGATAAAGACGGTCACCACATCGCGCGCTTTTAAATCCGCTTTTGCGGCCATCTGTAACGCTCTTCCTTCTGATAGGAACCACTGAAGCTTCGCACTTTTTAATCTAAATTTAAAACTACATTTTTTAAAACGGATTTTTGTGTTTAGGTTGTTGTCCTTCTCCCGACCTCCAATTAGCATGGTTGGCTGCGTGTGGTGCAAAATAAGTTCAACATACATATATCGATATACGTCATTATGAAGTGATGGCTCGTAGAAGGCAGTGCGGCAAGTAGAGTGCTAACCTACCGCATATTTACAGTTTTTGTCTATTTTCCCATGAGCGCACATGAATTTCACCCGGTATTTCATTTGCCTTCCACGTGCATAAATACTCGAAAATTGAGGCCGTATATTTATCGTATATGCTTTCGGAACACACTCTCGGGCTCTGCAGTCTGCCTGACATGCGCGTTTTCCGCAGCGTGGAGGCCAAGCAGGACGGAGACTACATGTTCTGCTTCGACAACAGCTTCAGCCATGTGTCGGAGAAGGTGGTGTTCTTCGAGGTGATCTTGGACAACATGGAGGTGGAGAAGGATGACAAGCCAGCATGGAAGGACTTTGTGGAAGTCGATGAAATTATTGACATGAAGCTGGAGGACTTGCAGGTGAGGAAGGAGGAGGTGGGGTGGTGGATGCCTTCACGAAAGAAATTGTAATACAAAACATTGCCGCTGTTCTATACATGCATTGCTAAGTCACGTGCCAAGAACTGTCTGACAATAACTTTTGTTTACGGGAAAAAAAAGACGTAGATAAATAAGACAACGATCAACAGCATTGGTCGTGGTTTACAAGCACACATGAAAAGTTTGATTGGGATGTTTGAGCGTAGAGATGAGGTTGTGTTTGGGGATCCAAAATGAAACTCGCATTATGGCGCCAAAACTTTCACAGAGCCCAAGGGTTTGATTAGCAACTTTAAATTCACAGCCACCTTGCCTACAATCAATATAAACACCCCAGTATTTAACAAATAAGTCTTTGCCTCCATAATGTGGATTACACTTCCATTTGATGCCTTGCCACGCATATTGTTGCTGAAAGCACAAGTGTAAACGACTGGTGGCAAAGATAGATAAGAATTCTGTGTATGTATGTATGTATGTTCAACTTCTTTTGCACCGTACATAGCTAACCGTGCTAATTGGAGGTGTGTGGGAAAGACAACAAACTGAATTGCTTATTGTGTTTAGTCGTTCTTCCCTTCGCATCTCTGATCCGCACGGTCGGCTATGTATGGTGCGAAAGAAGTTCATACCTACAATAAACAAATGCTGCTTTCCTTCTCTCCCTTCACAGGAGACCATGGACAACATAAAGACCCGCCTCGGCAAAAGCATTCAGATGCAGTCCGTGCTGCGAGTCTACGAGGCCCGCGACCGAAAACTGCAGGAGACCAACTTCGAGATGGTCAACCTGTGGTCGGGGATCAGCATGGTGGTGCTGGTGATGGTGGCCGGCCTGCAGGTGTACACGCTGCGCAGCCTGTTCAACGACCAGCGGCGCGTTCGCACGTAGCGCTTGGTGCCAGCGCTCGCTCGCATGCACGCACCACGCCTGAGCGTGCACATAGCGTGTGCGACGCTGGTGCTTCACTGGGGGAGAGGGGGGTGGGAGGGGGGAGGGGATCTCGTACTCAAACGCCGATGGATGTTATCTTGTAGATGCACCACCTAGCCTGTGTGTCCCCGGTTGTTCTACATGAGTTTTGAGACTTTGTTTTAATGAGCGACTTTGAAATCTATGGTTATTGTGATTTGGCACTCCCATTGACAGTGCCTAGTGATGTATCTGTGATGCCAACCCATGTACAGTTTAATACTGCATCAATGCAATGACATCACTAGGAAGCTGTGACTTGAGTGACCATGATTATAAAATAATGTTTATTTATAACGAAGCCAAGAGCGTATCACACAGTCTAGGTACATATCTGCAAGCGTCTTACCTTAAAGCCACAGGAACACTTAGGGGCTTGAAACTTGGGTTTCAAAAGACCAGAATTTTTTGGCTCGCAGCTTGGGATTTTATATCAGAATCAAGCAGTTTTATATTAACATTACTGCATTGAGTAGCAGATGAAGTAACTGGTAGCTTGTATATAAAGCACCTACATGTAGTGTACTCGAAGTGTCTTTATGCTCATTGGAGCATGGGACTTGTGCTTATCACTGCAAGTGATTCTAAGCCAGTGGTGGGAATTCCACTTTCATATGATAGTGGCCTGATTTCTTATATTGTTGTGTTAACATAGCCATATTTTCAGCATCTTGATCTCAAGATGCTGATCCCAAGATGATGGCCTAGTGTTTCAATGGCTATGAGAGCAGTTAATTCCGTTATCCCACAGCAATTCAAAATTAGTTCCTTTTTCCCATGGCGAATTATGCAACTTATTGTTACGACAACACCATTCTTGGCATTTGTTATTACACAGAACACACTCCATGCTGTTAATCCACTGGCATTGTGCAATCAGAGATTAAGTGCGGTTGTGTATTTGCTTGCAGTGCCTCACAATGAATAGCAATCTTCCAGCACTGACAGCTTAAGTGGTGGTAGGTTAAAACCCTGGTGTTGTACGAGACGATCTTGCCTAGTTTATGCGCATCAGTTGTACAAAGAACAAATAAACATCACCTGATTTAGCCCACTTTATAAATCACACATTTAGCCGGGACCTTCAATATCATTGTTCGAGTCATGTATTATCATCTGGTGGATGATTGTCTTTTGGTAGGATCAGTGTAGGAATATAGTAGCCTCAGTTTTCTGAACTGGGGACTGAAAAGGGCATTAATGCTTTCATGCATTTTCTGTTTTATAGATTTTAGTGGGGAGCATTTCTCTTGGAAATGTTAAGGTCAATATATTGTAGCTCATTTGGTAGACATTCTCTTATTGAGCGCATGGAGTTTAAATCCTGGCCAGTCTACTTATAGCTCACTCCGCAGTCTATACAATGAGTACCACTACGTATTTGGAGACTTGGTAGCCACCTTTTTCAAAGACCCTCCATTTATTGTAGGACACTTCACCCGCGTAGCAGCAACAATTCTTTGATGGGGTGTGAGATTAATAACGATAAGAAAACGCACGATAACAATACATGTTACACGCGTGAAGGCACATTACACTTCCGATTAGCACGATTGGCTACATACGCTTGGAAGGAAGTTCAACATACATCGTATTATCTTCATTGGTTCTTTAGGTAAAGTCAGGTATGTGATTTATTTAAATTTTATTTTATTTCTACATACGTTACTTTACCGAAAGAACCAATGAATATAGTAATTCCTGCAGTCACGAAAGCTTAAATTCTATACATAGTATATTTTCACGTTTCTCGCCAAGATGTGTTGACCCTTAAATTATATGTGTATTGAGAATGCCAAATAGGAATATTCAAAAAATGTAATATGCAATTAAGAGAGGCCAGGAAAAATTGTTATAGTTCAATACCAAATGTCACTGAGAAGGGTGACACAGATTCTACATACACTAGTCATGTGTTCAACGGTTTTTTCAGACCAAAACATTCTGAACCTTAATTTATTTGTGATGCACGTCTCTAAATGTGTTAATACATGCATTCCCTTTTGGCATTCACTTCCATTGCATAACATTGTCTTTTGGTCCAGCAAGGCACAAGATGGAGTTCATATTTGCATTGATCCTGCCAACAGATGTGTTTTTACATTAGTCATTGGGTTTATTTATAATCAAAGCTTAATTAGACAATAACTCAAGATTACTATTTGGGTGAAATCAGGTTAAATATTTGATTTTAATCTGTTTATGTTGGAGAATAAAGTAAAGACTTCCATGCACGACCTGGAGTACTTGATGAGACAGCCACACCTGCCAAATGGGCCTGAATGAGTTTAGTGACATGAAATATTTTTAAATAATATACAAATTAGAGTAATATTTCCAGACCTCTTAATTGTAAAATTAATTTATATTTTTCCTAAAAGTTTTTTTTTTAACGCAAGTAGTCCTGTTTTATTTTTGTATTGGTGATTATTTTTCCAATGCTGGACTTGGCGGAATCGTAACGTTTCAATCAAGGGCTGAAATGTCAGAGATTCTATGTAGTGACATTAAATACTAGTTGTGAATGTTTATGTAATGATAGCACAGACATTTAAAATATGGCCTTTTTTAGTGCTATACCATGAGTTGTGTGGGTGTGTGCCTTCTTAAGTGGACGATTCACTTATACTGATGACTTTGTTAACTGGGTTATCTTGCAGTGCAAATTGAGAGCATGTGTTTTGTGTAAATGTGACTAATTTTTGGCTGGAGTTCAAATATTTTACTCTTCGAATTCAATCATCTTTTTGTTGATAATCTTGTGAATGGTATAAGGGGTGGTTAGCAGTGTTTCTTTGCATGTATTGTGAGCTTAATATTGATTAATCAAACCTTATTCCACCCTTGGTGTATGGGGAAACACCTCTATTTTGTGACATTTTGACACATCCACTAATTTCCAGAACAAACCATGATGGGACGGTTGATAAGCGTGGAACGGGCGGTTCACAGAGGTCGCAGCTTCACTATGGCTGACCAATGGGAGATCACGGACGTATCCAGATGTATTTCTCGCTGGATTGGCTGATGTGTACCTACTCAGGTCCCCATGAATCCCATATGTGCTATTTAAATCCCGATCATGTCCTGCTTGGTGTTGTGAGTGCGAGGTATCACTGAATAAGCGTCACACCGGGATATCCACCCGCACACACACACACACGTGCCATTATTTTAACTGTTTATACTGTGAGCATCGATATAGCCATACATGGAAAGTGGTGAGAAATTGAAGGGGTCCCCTCGCCTGCATGCCTCGGTCTTCAAAAAAACACCACGATATGGCCTTAACTATGTAAAGTTGTGTTGGAGATGTGTTTGCCTTCAGTTTGTAATCGTTACCTAATTTGAAGGTGCAGCCTCTGGCTGTTGGGTTAAACTTGCTGAGAGGGACGCTCCTTCCACTGTTTGGTCAGGGGGGGGGGGGGGGGGGGGGGGGGTCTTATTAAAAGCTCTATCTTGTGTTGAGCACAAGCATTGCATTTTGTTCAGATAGTTCAAAGAATACAACGCGAGGGATGGTTAAATCCTGCTCGATTGTGTTGAACAAAGATTGTGTTCGCTTCATGCTGCCTCATTGTACGGTCACAATCAGAATATGTACGTAGTTTGTAAGCCTTGAAACAAGATATTGTTTTCACCACAATGTCTATATTGTGAAATTCACGTAGGCGAAAAAAAGCATGAAACAAGAGTTTACATTCTATCGACACGGCTCCATTTACTGCAAATGAAGGCGATTTTGCGTTCTGCAAGCTACGTTTTCTTGTGGTCTTCAGAATCCATATTGTTTATTCTTCATACCAGAATTGGTATTATATATTCCACGATCAAATAAATGTATTAGTTTATTGCATCAAACAACAAACCGCTGGGCTCCACTCAGCTATTCATCAAGCCTAGTGTTGAGCTGGATGGGGGTTTTTTTCCCGCCTCAATTCAACATTGTGTTACAGCAGTGGGTTCCATGCCTAAGAGGCCCTGTTTAACGTAGAGCTCTCACCATCACAGGGGCAACTGTAATGGGAGACGGGGTTTTAGTTTTTGTCGTTCACTCCACCCCCCCATTGCCCACGGTGGGCGTGGGCGGCAGTTGGCTCCGTAAATTTAGCTCGGGCCCCCCCCCCCCCCCCCCTGGTCTCGGCAGCGAGGCTGGAGGTGCTCAGCTGCTCATCGCTCCGAAAGATAGTGCACGCGGCCTCCGCATCGTGTTTTATACGGAAACCCTATGGTACCTGTCGTGAGTTGGACTGCCAAATTGTAGACGAGGAGGAGACGGTCGATCGTTAACCCCCTCCCATCAACCCCCGTCTGTAATGTCAGCAGTGTTGTGTGCGCGTGTGTGGAGTGTTGTGGTACGTGACATGCACAGGTCGAATGCTTTTTACCACAGTGATTTTAAATATGGCAAAGAGATTATAATAGCCTGTTGTATTTAAATGGTTCCTACTATGATAGCTTTAAAACCTTGTTTCCACTAATCTATGCAGCTAAGTGCTTATATGTTTGGTATTTGTGCATACCTTCCATGTTTTAAGGCTCTGATTGTTGATGGGGGTGGGGGGTGAAAGAGATCAAAATTTTTAAATTAAATGTTGCAGTAAAACATGAATTATTTGAAAAAGTTGTGATGTTTACGGTGTTCAAATCAGGAACTTGGTTGAATCCCATGCGTTGTAATCCCACTCGTAATTTTTTTTTGTAAGCTTGGCATGTGTGTTCTTTTTAAAAGGTTACATATTGTCAAGATTTTCAGCAGTACAATGTGAAATGGTGTTAATATAATTAAGCATTTTCAGCATGAAAGAACCTTTACTTTAAATACACCCAACTCTAAAACAACACCCAATTGTGTTGCTGTGAGTTTGTTTCACACGGAAGAAACGTGACACCTTTCAGAAACAATGTCGATTGCGATAGTGTGTCATCTCGCCAAACAATCGAATTACACGTTGAACTGGTGAAATGCGTGGAGATCACAGATACAACTCTTAACACGTGTGAACAATCTGATGTAGGCATTTTAGAAAACTGACCGTGGTATGCAAAAAAAGGAATAACTAATCTACTTTTGCAAGATGTTTGGGTATTTCCCGTGATGCCAAGCACCCTGAATGTTTTGCATCGTACACTTGGCAAATTAATTCCTTTTAGCATCCCCGGCACCAGAAGGTGCTAATTTCGTGCTAGTCCTTGCCATGTACTGATTAGTAACAAAACCTGTTGTTTAAGAATATCGTTAAAAACCATTTGAACCTGGTATGTATGTTTGTATGTGGAACATCTTTCGCACCGTACGTAGCCAACTGCTAATCGGAGGTGCGGTCCATGTAAGCTGTGCATAAACTAAATCCATAAGCTTAGGGCATCTTCATATGTTATAAATTTAAATCCATGAATGGTGTATCATATGCAATGTTCTCTATATTTAAATCAGGTCCATACTCTTTGGTAAAGTCATGTAACTTTACCGAATAGAACCAAAGAGTATGGACCCTTGCAGTCACGAAAGCTTCAAATCTAGAATTAAATCAGGTCGTTTATAAAGTTTGTATATGTTCAATATTTTCAAGTGGCAAGATCTGAATCCTGACCAAAACTGGCATCTGCCCATCTTCAAACACGTTTATTCATTTGTTGGGACGATGCAAACTGAGCAATATAAATCAATTGTTGTTTACCTGGTGGCGGTAACCCTGTTGTTGAGTTATCTATTGCATGGAATATATTTCCTGAGGGTGTGGTTCAAAAACATTGGAATGTTAAACCTCGTGAAATAAATAATATGTTTGGTTATCAATTTGCAGTTCTCTTTCAGTCGTTCCGTTTTGAGTACAGCAAACGTGTTACAATACAACTTATTCTCAAAATGCATTTCATAGTTTTTTTTACTGTGGCGCTAAAGAACAATGCGTGCATTGTGATACATCTATACCTTTGTAGCGTGTAACTTAGGCGCAAACTTGTACTTGGAGGCAACACTTTATTGAACACAACGGGTAACTAACAGGATAACAGCATAGGGTGGTGACCTCCACGGCGAACTAAACTTGACACTCGCAGACGATTCTATAGCCGGACCCGGACAGCTAACGGGCTGCCTGGTCCACACGTAGAGACTGGAGACCGAGGACCGAGGATCACGACTTCATTCCCAGAGTGGAGCGCCTGATCCCTCTCGGGACCCCGCTTATAACGCCCCTGGCCTGGCTGGCTCCGCCCCTGGCCACGCCCCCCTTCCAGAATCCTCGTGGGGACTGGATCCATTTCCATTTATTTTGGTATGGCCCTGTGAGCCATTCGGCTCTTGAATCGGGTGCAACCGCAACAAACAAAAAACAAAAACATGAACAAGAAAACATCTTAATGTGACTATGTGACTGTGCAAACAGAAAATCCAGGAAAAACATCAAAATATTCCTGAAATAGCACCGTACACCAACGCTGTGTGCAAAAATTTTAGTGGGATGCAAGTCAAACAACAACAACAACCACAAGACAACTAAGATTAAGGCCATCAGTCTAACTCTGTACTACAATAAACAAAAAACATGGCCAAACCAAAAAAAACTTTTCGAAATCAAAATAAAAGCCATAAATGCAATGTAACAGTGATCATAGGGACTGTGACCGAATTTTTTACAATAAACTACATAAATAAATTATAACACCAAACCCTAGAGCCATATTTTAGGCCACTGAATAGCAGTGGCAGCTAGGGGTGTACAACTCCTCTAGAGCAGTTTTGAGTGAAGATCTCAAAGGTAGTGATTACAGTTGCAGTTTATTGGCAATAGCATTCCAGACCCTGGGGGCATCAATAGCAAAGGCCCTTCCTCCGTTTTTTGTACGGCAATAGGGAATGTGAAGCTGGTAAATGAGCGAAGACCTGAGGTCAAATTTGTTCTTTGAAACAGAGAGGAGATCCAGTAGGTCGTCTGCGGATTTTTTTGTAAGTACATCGTGAATCAATAAGATCTGGTGCACAAGCCGTCGAACATTAAGATCCTCTCACCCCCAACTGGGGCCCCCCTGACCCCTCTCGTCCGGTCACGTGTCCTCCCGGGTTCACCTCGTGGTCACGTCCTTGCGCGACCCCCTTCTCAGCGACAACCCTCACACGGCACTGCCTCTGCACCGCGGTGGCCCCCTTGATGCCACCACACCTTCATTGCAATGCATGTATTTGTTTCTTGATTGCGTCCAAATGTTCACATGGACCATTCGTCAAAGAAAACGCATCATTAGAAAGTCGCACTACGGAACGTGGTTGATCAACTTTGCACTTCATAAAGCTGGCAGCAGACAAAGCAGAAAAATAAAAACATGTTCGGTTCATATTGCAGATAGGTAACATCAATGTATGTGTAAACGATTAACTGCAAATGAATCCCGCTAAAGTGAGGTGGGGTGGTGGCCCACGAGAAACCCTCAATGTGGTCTATCAGTGGAAAGCTATAACTAGTCCGTGGGTGTCCCCCACTTTTACCGACCCACACTGCCCAACGTGGTGAAGTATGTATCTCCTGTATGTTCGACTTCTTTTACACCTAACGTAATCGCCAAATGACTCTCGTGACGGACATGCCGTGAGTAAGACTCAGTGGCCATACGAATCAGTGGCTCGCTCTTCAAATGAACAATGCCGTCACTCGCACATCCGTTGAGCCAATAGTGTAAATTACATCATACATTCTACCACCAACGACCTCCCGCAAAGAGTGAAGAGTTGGTAGCGTTGTTTGTGTGTGCGCGTGAATTTTCATTGCTGTATTTTAATTTGTTTGTGGTATTTTGGTGGCACCGTCCGTAGCTCACCGTGCTAATCGGGTGTGCGAGCCTACTGTGTTTCGGTCTCTTGATGAATCACCTATTTAAACTAAATCTGAAACTTTAACCCCGACTGTATGGCTTGGGCGTTGGAATACTTTTATAGACAATTTTTAATGACGGTTATGGCGCAACTTCAAGTGTTTTTTTCCCTCTTTGAACTGTGACTCATCGGTGTGCATTTAGGCCTACGTGTGACCTATTGATTTGTACATCACGTTGAATGTAACACCGGATAAAGAGTCTTTCAGTGCAACGTTGCGAAATCATTAGACCTGATATGCATGCAAATGCGATTGCTTAACCGACACAACTTTCAAAGCTGTTGGACAAAAAAGTAAAGCACTCGTAAAGGGAGTTGCCCAAACATCGTAATATAGGGCCCCAGAGTTAGGGCACATGTTGGAACCAGTCCTGGCTGTCTTCTTTAAAAAAAAATACTGCGCATCACAAATTTGTGTATTAATTATTTTATTTTTGCATGTAATTACAACAGGCGTGATTGTGACACATAAGTCTGTACACTTTTCGATTTAAAGCTTTCGTGACTGCAATGATTCATCTTCTTTGGTTCTTTCGGTAAAGTCACGTAGAATGAGAATAAAATAATAAATTGATAAAATAAAATAACACAATAATATTCTCACGACGTTTCGGCCACAACACAAGCGGCCTTCATCAGGTGAAGGGACGAGACTGTCTGGTAGGACAGCGCTGGAGTGAAAGAGCCACGTTCAGATCACGGCCTTTAAGCTGTGTGAGAGGAACAAAGCGCCTTGACAAAGAAATTAGCATATAATTTAGCATTGAAATGGCTGAATGATTAGCTTGTGACTGGTCACAGAAATAGCTATGTTAAAAGTTAAAGCATACACATCCGCAGAGGCACCCCTTGATAAAGGAATTAGCATAGAATGTAGCATTGAAATAGCTAAGTTAAAGCATACACATCCGCAGAGGCACCCCTTGACAATGGAATTAGCATAGAATTTAGCATTGAAATAGCTGAGTGATTAGCTTGTAACTGCTCACAGAAATAGCTACGTTAAAGTCAGAGCATACACATTCACCGAGGCACTTAGTACAAATCAAACAGGAGAATTTAGCATTGAATTTAGCAGTTATTTCAATGCTTACATATGTGTCTCTATGTGTCTCTGTGCTCTCTGCTTGTCTGTCTATGTGTCTCCGTGTCTGTGTTTTGTCTCTCTCTCAAATTTAGCAATGTTTGGAAGAACGTAATCAACCAGGTATGGCGTTGACCGTTGTGTTAGCCGACTCTCTGTGTCGTATTGTATTATATTTCTAAGTTTACTAGGTTTGTTTTTTTATCATTCATTCTTACCCGATGACGAGTGCTTGCGTTGCAATCGAAACGTCGTATTCTATTATTTAAAAAAATATCTTTCTACGTGACTTTACCGAAAGAACCAATGAGTATTTTTTTTTTACCAGCAAAGCCTCATTGAGCTATATATCTATTTCTTAGAAGCGTCCTGGCCACAAATGATAGCTCAACGAAGTGACTTATCGTGTGGAAATGTATAATAGCCAAATACTCTAAGAGCATTTTTCTAAAGGCGGAGGGAAAAACCGGAGGACCCGGAAAAAAATCCCCACGGAGAGAACATGCAAACTCCAAATATACCAGCGTCAGGATTGGGATCGAATCAATGACCTCCTGTATACCAGGTGAGGTAGTTAACATCTAGTCACCACAGCGTGTTCCATGGAATACGTTTAAAAAAAAAATCACATTTCGAATGACTGTTACCTCGACTCTTGCCAAAATCATATTTTATCACATGAGGTTGGGGAGTTCCCAACTGACATAGGAATTTGGCGAATTCTCTCCCCCTGCAAGGAAATCCTTGGGTATACTCCCACGCAAGACCATTTAGTAGGGCTAGTACCAGTAGTGTGTGGTATTTGCGGGTGGTTCTGGTGTCCCTCTCGTACGTATATTGAACTTGTTTCGCACCGCACGTAGAACAACCGTGCTAATCGGAGGTGCGGGGGAAGGCCAACAAACGCAAAAATCAATTCCGGGGCAGCATCTATTTCGGTTGCTGTTGGCAGGGAAAGGCTCCTGTGATGCTGTGGTTCACCTCACGCTCCCTGAAGCTGCTCGCAGCCCTCTTTGGGGCCTCGGTGTCACACGACACACAGTCTGCAGAGTTTTGTCAAACCTACAAGCGTTTTGAGTCGAATAAAAAACACTTCTGTGGGATGACTAAGCCGCGTATGTTTACACCGGTAGCAGCTGTTCGAGGGTCAACCCAATTGACCCGAGGAGAGTCTGCAGAAAGGGATATCGCAGAATCGCTTATCAGAAGCCCTCCGAGCGACCTCTTATCTACAATCGAGACGTGTCTGCCACGGAGCAGACACGCCTGTCGCGTGAGTGAAACCCTGAACGTATCTTTCATTCTCAGAGCTGGGATGTAGCTAAATAAGCGCAAAAACAAAATGTGATATTGTTTTTTTGCCTCGTGCAGTCGTTGGTGACCCGATGAGCTCATCAACTCACCCAACACCAAAAAAAAATACTCTGTTTAGCCACAGCCTTGGTTCAAACCTAGGATCTCAGTGGTGGCCGCTCATCGCTGTCACCTCAATCCAGCCACCCCGTGGTCATATCATCATTGAGACTCCGGGGTGAACTCCCTTCGCGGTGGGGACTCTATAACGTGTCTCCTGTTTTTTTTACAAGCGTGACAAATTATTTTCAGGCGGGGGTCGCGAAGGGAGGGTGGGTGGAGGGTGGTGGTGGGGGGGCAGGCTGCAGCACAGAGACTGTGCAGGAGAAATTTCAAAAAGCGCAGTGGCACAAGACACCATCGCTATGCCCCATAGTGCCTCCGCACAGATGTTACGAAATGCCGTCCAACAAGTTTGCGTGCAATGCAGTTGGCTGCACATGAAAGGTCTTCATTGACCGAAATACACGAAATGTCACATACAGTGCAC